CAGGAAGTGGAACCAAAATAAAACAGGAAATCACAAGACAACATAGACACGAGACAAAACTGAATGAATTAACTTAACAAAGTTTCCTGGACATGACAGCTGTGTTCAGTTAGTGGCCATCTGAAACCTCCCTGCTAGATGTCGATAAATCCTACGCACAAGTCCTTTAATTAGAGCAGCTGTTGAATGTTGTGCTATATTTTAAACCTTCCAAATAAGAAAAGCAATGTGGTGATAATGACATTAAAAGCCTGTTTAATTTTAGTAGAATTAGGAAGTAGTATCCCCTAGTTCAGCTGGAAAAATTATCAAGATAATATCGGCAAGAATGTGAGAGACGGTTCTGTGGAGTTCAAAATGCTCAGAAATTATCACCACCTCTCGAAACCGGTAGCTGAACTGGTTCACCGTCAAGCCAGGCAGCAAAGATTGAACTCTAATTAGAGGTGATAAGCCTCAAGCTGCGCAGGTGAAGGTTCTACATTTTGACACTTGTGTTCCACGTACTGCACCGTATGATATTTATCAGTCTACTGATGTTGTCAGCAGTTTAGAACGTAACTGAAAAGGGATAAACAGATAAACACTGACTATGACTAAAATCAAACCAAACAGGCTGAAACCCTGGATGAGCCGTGAACGTAGCACGCTTGTGTCCTCCAACAATACTTTAGCAGAACATTAAGCTACACATAAAAGAACAAAAGTATATTATTTCAGAGGCATTTTAGTTGGCACATTAATTTCCTCCTTTTTTGATGAAGGTGTCAGAATGTGGGATTCACACACACTGAATCCCAGCTGGTTTATTGTCTTTGGGAAAGGTAATATAAATGTCTAAAGTAATTTCACTAGTAAAACATGCAGTTATACTCTGCCTGCAGCAGAGAAGGTTGGTGCAATAGCAGATGTTCAGTCACATATAAAGCTTCTCCTTCAGACAGGCTGACTTTGAGAGGAAGTCCCCAGGGTTATGCTCCATATATTACTGATGATCATGTGGACTGAGATGACCGTATCTATAAAAATTTAAAGATATAACAGGGTTGCTCTCTGCACTCCGTGGGGTTAGTGTTCTCATTCTGGAAGTGGGATTGATTGTATTCCCTGTCTCACAGTATAAATTGACATTTCTCTCAGGTCTGGTGTGACATGAGGTGTCAACCTGAGGAAAACAACCCTGCCTGCTGTCTAACACAAAATCGTAACTTTCCTGTGCAGGGTAGTTAGGGGAGGTCAAGCACAGACAGAGACGGAAGTAATAGTGTTAACCAGAACCAATTTCCTGTTCCACTTTTCCAATTTCTACTAATCACAGTCTTATGAGATATTACCTCCAGTCATTTCTCTTCCTTCCTCTTATTCTGTTTTTCTTCCCTCTAAATATGCTTAGATATAATCAAATTTTTTGATTCAGTTTAACCATCTTAAAGAACTTTTGGGGAAATGCTTATCCTTACGTCTGGGCTAACCTCTGTTCCACTAGCTTATGTAACTTAATGCAATCGCTCATTAATCTTTCATCTGCCTTTCTGAAAAATTATTCCATATTACCATATAATATAAACTATATAAGACAAGTTAGCATCCACTACAGCAAATTTCAATAGAAACTGAAATCTAATTATAAAAAGTTAAACAATTACTTTGTTAGCATCCAAATCAGTTTGGTGACTTGGTTTGGTCCATGTGGTAGACAGTTATGGATATGAAATGACATGGTAGATAACCTGTGAGGCCTTCGAGGCTTTCACACTTGACATGATTTTTATTGGGAGGCTCTGGTACCTGGAGATAAAAAGAAGATGAGAGCTTGGAAAGGTTCCAGACTCTGCTTACTGAATTAGAAATACTAATGACTGAGAGTTGGTGGCTTGAGATACAATGATATTCAAACTTTGGGTATTTAACTGTGTCCATGTCCACTGAATAAACAACAATTGTTGAGAAAATGTATTGACTGACCAACACTTACTTAAATACTTACAGAGGTTCTGGTCTCATTTCGGCTCTCTGTATATAAAGCTACAGCTTGGTTAAAGCTAAAGACTGGAAATAGTAAAAAACAACTTGCCTAGTTCTGTCCAAAGGGGAAAATGCTTTAAAGCTCACTAATTAACACATTATTTCTTGTTTTATCTGTAGAAAGTTAAAGTATTATAAGGGGAATTAAGTGGAGGACTATTTCTTGGCGGGGTGCTATGCTATGTTCTGTAGTCTTCTCTTGCTGACTGAATCCAGGAAGTTACAGCATCCAGCACTGATGGACTCAGGTCGAAGCCCCTATGTTCGAAAAAACGCAACAAAAGTGCCCTCTTGGATGCCCCCATAAATTGCTCCATCCAAACCCTGACTGAACTGTTTCACCATGAATGCATCAAAATGCGCACGCTAATGCCCTTGTTATTTTTTACAGCTCTGCCCGTCAAACAGCCGGAGTCCGCCAGTGGCACACAGCCAAGAAATACTCCAGCCCATAAAACCTGCAACTCGTCAATTATACAAACAGATATAACTTGTTATTTAGTGAGCTTTAGAGGTGATGGCAGGTTGATTTGTTACCTCTTGACAAAACCAAGCTGTATTTTAGGCTGAGCTATGCCTGCTGTAGCTTCATAGTTACCAGACAGACACGAGAGTGGTATCAGTCTCCTCATCTAAAGCAATAAGGGAGATGAAATTTTGGGTCAGAAGCCAAATCTGTAACACCTGTCCTGTGGGCTTCTGTACTATAAAATATAAAATGTGTTACTGAATGGCTGCCCCTTCTCTTGGGTTCTAGGCAACCTACCCAACCTCCATCCAGTGTTTGCTTTACACTTTCACCCTTTCATACATTACATACATGACTGCTCTGTGCCCCCTTTGGTCAATGTGTATTTATTCTGTGTCCTTCTGTGTGTCAGGTCAGAAGGAGCACATGCTGTTTTATCCTGGATAGATCAAGTTAATGAGCGTCCAAAACAAACAGAGGACTAGGGGCTCACTCCCCAATTTATGTCCTAAACCAGTTACAGAGTGGCCTTGGCTGCCCCCTGGAATGTCAGCAGCCTGTCCCATGAGGGAGAATTAATGATGTTATAACCCCTCACATCCACTCTATTTAAGTCTGTAACAGTGTAACAGACATTTCTAAACTTGAGTTAATTTTATGTTTTGGCAATTGTCCTTTTAGTTTTGGCTATAGGGGTGACATTACCCAACACAGAACAACAGGAATCTGTTAATCCTAACAACGAAAATGGGAGTACACCGAAATCAGGAAGTTTGTGAATTGAATTGATAATAATGTGTGCAATTTTTTCCCCATCCTCCATTTACAGTAAACCATTTAAACCACTGCTCCAATGAGCCAATCAAGGCCTGTAAATGCAGATCATTTTGTGAGGTTTGTTGTTGTGAAATTATTCAACAGCTTTTGTCACATACAAGAGGAAAAATATGATGTAATTCACCACAGAGATGTGGTAGGCAATCAAAAGACATCAATTATGTACAGTGTGCGAACCATACCATGGTTTTTGTGGAGAGCTCAGTTTTTTATTACAATCATAGCTGCAATCATGTAGGCCTGCTTGCTCTGTGTCAGTTAATGACATACATTCATCAATAATAGCCTAATTTTATGCATGATCCATCCATCCATCCAAGATACAGAAAAATAGGAAAGCATGGCAAAAATAGCATAGTGTCAATATTTTAGAGACCCCCCAAAATGTCATCATGTTTTCAGGGGAGCTCATGTCTTATTAAGAGGAGCCAAGCCCCCCTGACTCCTCTGTAGTTCACACCCTCGTTATGTAAGATGTATTTTTAAACGTGTGTTTGGTTCTACTCATATATTTTTCACATCATCGTACCCTCAAACTACTTTATATCCCTCTTTCCTCCCCTCTCTGTCTCCTCTTGTGTGTTTTAGCTGTTCTCTCCATTCTGGGAAATCTGCTGGTCATCATCATGGCCATCAAAAAATCATCGAGGATGAAGCCGCCGGAGCTGCTGAGTGTGAATCTTGCAGTGACAGACCTGGGAGCAGCTATTACTATGTACCCCCTGGCTGTGGCCTCTGCATGGAGCCACCGCTGGCTCGGGGGAGACATTACTTGTACATATTATGGCCTGGCAGGGTTCTTCTTCGGCATCGCAAGCATCATGAACCTGACTATCATGGCCATAGTCCGCTTCGTTGTGTCCATTAATCTGCAGTCTCCGAGTGAGTAATTTAAAAACACTGATAAAAAACACTACATGGTATTTTAGAATGTATCATTTGGAGATGATAACTGCAATGAAAATTTTATGCCACGATATTTTTTACATTTTATATGCTCTGAGAGACATCATTACGTAATGGGTGACTCTTCCTGCTATTCTAGCAGGAGTGATGACACTGTATTCTACTACACCAAACTTGGTTTATGGTGGTCACAAAGGTGACAAGTGTTTTTTAAATCACTCTCTGAGGTTTTTAATAGCTGCACTTAAAAAGGAAAAACAAGGAATCTTCTTTGCGTGCAAGACGGCAACTGCTTCTATCTCCAACATTAATATTAAAAATTGTCTTTAAGTAGAAGTAGCAGGATAACATTATATTTTTATTTCTTTTTATTAAACACTGTTTTACAATGTCAAGGGTTTATAGCATCTGCATCATCTCTCGCTACCTAGTCATCAGAAGTTTCTGTCTTTTATGATTATATTTAAAACCATGGTTTGACATTTTTGGATATCTGTCCAGTAAATATATGGCTACAGCCAGACGCCAGTTAGCTTATCTCAGCATAAAGTCTAGAAACTTTTCATTTTTGCACTTGGTTTTTGTGTCAATTAAATAAATGAGATATAACATGTTAATTAGTGAGCTTTAGAGGTGCTGGTGGGCAGGTTTGGTCACCTTTGGAAAGAGCCAAGCTACCTGTCTCCCCTTGTTTCCAGTCTTTATGCTAAGCTAAGCTAACTGGCTTTTGACTATAGCCTTATATTTACCGACAAGATATAAGAGTGGTAGTGAATGTAAAACCACTCCAACTACATTGCCAGCCAGGCTCTCTCATTAACTTCTTCTCCGGATTTTTAAAAATATATCAGAACACTGTACTGACAACAAACCATTTTATGACTGACAAACAAAATGGCAGCTCTGTCTCTTGGGTAAATCTTAATGGTTCGATGGTGCAGGCAGGAATTAACAGAGTGGAAAGGTTCGGGCTATTCACTCTAGGCTTACCAAGAAGTGGTATCAGGTGGGTGTACCCAAACATAACATTCCCATTATATAGAGAAAACAAAAACCCCCACACTGACAAATCACTAAACGTGACCAGCTTTTGCTATTAGAGCCTGCAAACTATGGAACATTTGTTCTTAAAGCGTTAAAGCGCATATTTTATATATGTTTTTATTTGTACTGTTACAAATAATGAATGAATAAAAATGTGTTATTCTGATTGATCTTAATGGTTTTATAGGAAGTCTGAGAAAAATATACAATACAAATATATGCAGAATACACGTAGAGGCACCCACATTTATATGTAAATATCTGCATATGTACAGTATACAAACATACAAAAAAAAAACGTCAAATGGGCTTGGACTACAAATACTTGGGAGTGGTGATCGGCAACAGACTGGACTGGAAATCTAACACCGAGATGTACAAGAAGGGGATGAGCAGACTCTATTTCCTGAGGGAACTGAGATCCTTCAACATGTGCAGCAAGATGTTGGAGATC